ATCTATCTATCTATCTATCTATCTATCTATCTATCTTTCTCTATCTATCTATCTATCTATCTATCTATCTATCAATCTATCTTTCTATCTATCTATCTATCTATTATCTTTCTATCTATCTATCTATCTAATTCTATCTATCTATCTAATTCTATCTTCTATCTCTCTATCTATCTATCTATCTATCTATCTTTCTATCTATCTATCTATCTATCTATCTATCTATCTATCTATCTCTTTCTATCTATCTATTCTATCTATCTATCTATCTATCTATCTATCTATCTATCTATCTATCTATCTATCTATCTATCTATTTCTGTTTCTATCTATCTATCTATCTATCTATCTATCTATCTATCTATCTATCTATCTATCTATCTATCTAATTCTCTTTCTATCTATCTCATTATCTATCTATCTATTATCTATCTATCTATTCATCTATTCTGTTCATTCTATCTATCTATCTATCTATCTATCTATCTATCTATCTATCTATCTATCTATCTATCTAATTATCTATCTATCTATCTATCTATCTATCTTCTCTTTCTATCTATCTATCTATCTATCTATCTATCTAATTCTGTTTCTATCTATCTATCTATCTATCATTTCTTCTATCTATCTTCTAATTCTGTTTCTATTATTCATTATATCTATCTATCTATAATATCTATCTCTATCTATCTATCTATCTATCTATCTATCTATCTATCTTTCTATCTATCTATCTATCTATCTATCTATCTATCTATCTATCTATCTATCTTCTATTCTATCTATCTATCTATCTATTCTCTTTCTATTTCTATCTATCTATCTATCTATCTATCTATCTATCTATCTCATTCTCTATCTATCTATCTATTCCATCTATCTATCTATTCTGTTTCTATCTCATTCAATTCTCTTTCTATCTATCTATCTAATTCTCTTTCTATCTCTATCTATCTATCTATTCTATCTATTCTATTTATCTATCTATCTATCTCTCTATCTATCTATTATCTATCTATCTATCTATCTATCTATCTATCTATCTATCTATCTATCTATCTTTCTATCTGTATCTATCTATCTCATCTATCTATCTATCTAATCTGTTTCTATGTATCTCATTCCATCTATCTATCTATCTATCTATCTATCTATCTATCTATCTATCTATCTAATTCTTTCTATCTATCTATCTATCTATCTATCTATTCTATCTTCTATGTATTTCTTTTTCATCTATCTATCTAATTCTGTTTCTATCTATCTCATTCTATTTATCTATCTATCTAATTCTGTTTCTATCTATTATCTATCTATCTATCTATTCTATCTATCTATCTATCTATCTATCTATCTATCTATCTAATCTTTTCTATCTATCTATCTATCCTGTTTCTATCTATCTATCTATTCATCTATCTATCTATCTAATTCTGTTTATATATCTCATCTATCTATTATCTATCCAATTCTCTTTCTATCTATCTTTCCATCTATCTCTATCTAATTCTATTTCTATCTATCTATTCCATCTATCTATCTAATTCTTTCTATCTATCTATTATCTATCTATCTATCTATCTATCTATCTATCTATCTATCCATCTATCTATCTAATTCTTTCTATCTATCTATCTATTATCTATCTATTTCTATCTATCTCATTCTATCTATCTATCTAATTCTCTTTCTATATATCATCTATCTATCTATCTAATTCTATTTCTATCTATCTCATTCTATTATCTATCTATCTATCTATCTAATTCTAATTCTATCTATCTATCTATCTATCTAATTCTGTTTCTATCTATCTATCTATCTAATTCTGTTTCTATCTATCTATCTATTCTATTTTCTATCTATCTATCTATCTATTTATCTCTTTCTATCTTGAATATCATTCTATTTCTCAATTCTAGTTGTATCTATTATATGATCTCTTTGTTTCTTTATTTAATTTTCCTATTTTCTTTATATAATTTTAAATTGAAAATTTTATATATTTTTGGTCTCCCTCTATCTATTTCCCCTCTCTTGATGAATGAAGATCAATCTTGGAATTCTGTTTCTTCTATCTATCAATCTTTAGTTTTCAATTCAATCTTTCAGACTTAATCCCCGCTTTTACCACCTTATATACCACATTTCTAATCCGTTTATCAGATTAAAAGTTATTCTCAATTCTATTTTTCGTCTTCACCTTCAATCCTATTTTCAGATTTCTATCTTGAATCATTCTATTTATAGTCTTTTCATATTTTAATCCGATCTTCATTCTGTTTCACGCTTCATTTCTATTTCGTCTCATTATTCTCAGTTCGATTTTCTGTAAATTCACGATCGAATTCTATTTTCGGACTAAGTCTTTTGTTTCAGTCCATTATCAAAAAAAATTCTTGTTTCAATTCGATTTTCCGATTCTTCTAATGCGAGCCCTAAATCAGTATCGTAGCAGACAATCTATCGGTCTTTTCATTCTTAGTTTCTTCATCTGATGTCATTCCTATTGCACGTAGACCATCTTCCCCTTTAATCTTTTTCTCCTTCCGTTAAATCGCCTCAACCCAATTTTCCAATTTCTCATCGCACCAATCTTATTTCTTTCCATCTTTCAGGCAATCTATTTTCAGACCGTTTTTATCTATCTATTCTATCTTCAGATCTATCTAACGCTATCAATCCTATTTTATTACCATCTCAGTTTCTATAATCTTTTTTTCAGACTGTCTATCGCACCAATCCTATTTTCATTCTTTCTATCTATCAATCTATTTTCAGACCGTCTTTTTCAATCTATTTTCATTCCATCTACTATCCTTTTCATCTCCTATTTTCTATCTATCCATCTATCGCCTCTAATTTTTTTCCATATATCGTCTCATTTGGAAATCTTATTTTCAGACCATATCGCCTAATTCTATTTTGCAATTGGTATCCCTCTATCTATCTATCTATCTATCTATTTTCAGACCATCTCAACCTCAATCTATTTTCAGACCGTCTCTTTTTTTTTCTTTTTTCAAAACCATCTCAAGCCTTATCTATCTATTTTCAGACCATCTCACGCCTATCAATCCTAATTCTATTTCTATCTATCTATCTATCAATCCTATTTCAAACTTTCTATTTCAATCCTTTCTTTTCAGACCGCCTCATTGAATCAATCTATTTTCTATCTGTCTCACGCCCTTCCCTTTTTTCAATTCTGTTTCTCATTCAGCTATCAATCGTCTCAATCGACATTCTTTCTATCTTTCAAACCATCTTTCCCCAATCTATCTTTCAGATCTTGCCTCTTTCTTTCTATCCCTATTGACCTTATCCAATCCCCGCCCCCTTTTTTCTAAATGTTCCTATCATTCTAATTCTGTTTCAGACTGTCTCCGCCCCTTCAATCCTTTCTTTCTATCTATCTATAACCCTAAAGAATGAATCTTTCATTATGGTCCCTTTCTGTTTCAAATCTATTTAATACTTTCTATTTACCTTTTTTAAATTCTTTTCTACCTATTCTTTATCTATCCTCTATTGTCTCAAATTCTTATTCGGCTTTCTTTCTAATTCTGTTGTTTCATCTGTACGAGGAATATGATTTACAATTTTATTCTTTTTTTTTAATCATTTATTTACATTTTTCTCATCTGAAACGTTTTGAAATAATCGCCAATTCTTTTCTTCTATGCATGAACATCTTCTAATTCTGAAACAGGTTTCCTATCTTATTTTCTTTTTTTCTTTTTTTCTAATAATCGTATTTTTGTTTCTACTGAAAGGACAGTTCTTTTAGATAGATAAATTTCAGAATGATAGATAGATAATCAAACAAAAACTATAAAAGAATTTATTTGTGAGAGATTTTTAATTTTTTTCCTATCTTAAAATTTAAAATATTAAATTTATATATAAATATATATATATATATATTTATATATATATATATATTTATATATTTATATATATATATATCTAATTCTGTTCTATCTTCATGGATAAAGTCTTTATATATACGATTTTTTATATCTATATATATAAGAATCTATTGAAGGATCTTTTTAGGCGAAAGTCTAATTCTGTGAATAGATATTTGCTGTTATTATGAAATTTATTTGTTTTAGAACGATGAATGCCTATAAATATTATATATATATATTTATATATATATATATAATTAGTTTCTGTCTCTTTCTTTTAGAGATAAATTTAGATACTAGTATAGATTGATATAAAAAGCTTTGAAACATGGATAGACTGAAAAAAACTGAGATAGATAGATAGATTCTCACCAGAAGAGTTTCGGATAGGTTTCTATGATTCTATTGTTTTGCCAAATCTCTTCTTTTTTCTTCTCGGTTTGAAATCGATAGATGTCTATCCATCGAATAATTTATGCAGGTAGCTATCTTTTTAAAAATAAATTTGTTTTGCATACATTTGTCTTTTCTATTTAGTTTATTGAAAATCTAATATCTGTTCCTATCTACTATCTTAATTTCTTTCTATCTATCAATTTTGTCTGTATATAGGATGAAACAAAGATTGATTGATATCTATTAAATTCAGTTTCTCTTTATCAATCTAATTCTGTTTCTATCTATCTATCTATCTAATTTCTCTAATTTCTTTAAATTTTTGTATCTTTCTATAGATTTTAGATATGTTATCTATCTGTCATATCTGTTAAAGCTTTCTAATATAATGATCCCAGTCTCACTCTTTCCTTTCTCTTTCTATTTTTCACATCCTTTTTTTAATGGTAAAACAGTATCGATCTATCTATCTATAATGAAATCTATAGAAGTAAAATTATAACCTAATCCTTGCTTCAAATTTAATTTCTTTCTATTTTCCTATTATATCTGAATATTTTCTTTTCTTTTATCTTAGCCTTTTTATCTATCTCATTTTTCTTTCTTTCTATTATCTTTCTTAAATCTTCTTTGTAATTTCTTTCTTTAGGTTCCTATCTTTCTTTCTATCCAACTATCTTTCTATCTTTCATCTATCTATCTATCTATCTATCTATCTAGTTTCAGTCTACTTTCTATCTATCTTTCTATTCATTCATCTTTTTCTTCTTTTTCTTTCTTTCTATCTATCTATTATCTATCTATCTATCTTTAATTCGGTTATCTGTCTCTATCTATTTCCATTCATCTATCTATCCTATCTATCTATCTAATTATCTTTCTATCTATCTATCTATTTCAGTTTTCTATCTATCTATCTATCTCTATCTATCTATCTATCTATCTATCTATCTATCTATCTATCTATCTATCTATCTATCTATCTATCTATCTAATTGTGTTTCTAGCTATCTATTTAATTCTGTTTCTATCTACCTATCAATCTAATTCTGTTTCTATCTATCTATCTATCTATCTATCTATCTATCTATCTATCTATCTATCTATCTATCTAATTGTGTTTCTAGCTATCTATTTAATTATCTATATTTATTCATCTCTTCAATCTAATTCTGTTTCTATCTATCTCAGCCTATTCTATCTATCTATCTATTATCTATCTTGTCCATCAATTATCTATCTATTTATCTATCTTGAATTACGTCTCTTCATATCTATCTATCTAAAATTTATTATTTATCTATCTATCTATTTATCTGGCTAATTCGGTTCAATATTGATGATTGAACGGTTATAGATAGGCATCTCAATATGTTATCTATCTATCTATCGCCTCTATCTATCTTCAGACTTACACCCACGCTAGTTTACCACCTTCAGACTCACACCTTAATCCGATCTTCAGATTAAATCTTACATCTCAATCCTATTTTTGACCGTCTCACGCTTCAATCCTATTTTCAGATTGTCTCACGACTTCATTCTATTTTCACACAAATTCACACGCCTTAATCCGATCTTCAGACTGTTTCACGCTTCAATTCTATTTCGTCTCACGTCTCAGTTCGATTTTCAGATTGTCTCACGACTGAATTCTATTTTCGGACTAAGTCTTACGCTTCAGTCCGATTTTCAGCCTAAGTCTCACACCTCAATTCGATTTTCGCGAGGCAGAATGCCACCTTCAGAGTATGCGTAGCTCCTCAATCCTATCGGTAAAGATTCACATTCTTCAGTCTCATACGCTTCAGTCCTATTTTCAGACCATCTCACGCCTCAATCCTATTTTCAGACCGTCTAAAACCCTATTTTCAGACCATCTATATTTTTCTTATTTTCAGACCATCTCACGCCTCAATCCTATTTTCAGACCGTCTCACGCCTCAATCCTATTTTCAGACCATCTCACGCCTCAATCCTATTTTCAGACCATCTCACGCCTCAATCCTATTTTCAGACCATCTCACGCACCAATCCTATTTTCAGACCATCTCACGCCTCAATCCTATTTTCAGACCGTCTCACGCCTCAATCCTATTTTCAAACAATCTCACGCTTCAATCCTATTTTCAGACCGTCTCACGCCTCAATCCTATTTTCAGACCGTCTCACGCCTCAATCCTATTTTCAAACAATCTCACGCTTCAATCCTATTTTCAGACCGTCTCACGCCTCAATCCTATTTTCAAACCATCTCACGCCCCAATCCTATTTTCAGACCGTCTCACGCACCAATCCTATTTTCAGACCGTCTCAAGCCCTAATCCTATTTACAGACGGTTCCACGCCTCAATCCTATTTTCAGACCGTCTCACGCCTCAATCCTATTTTCAGACTTAGGCACCCTGCAGAATGTCATCTTTCATTATGAATCCCTAGATTGCAATGAAATCTAACAATTACAACCTATTTAAACCTTTTTAAATAACCATTTCAACCTATTCTTTATCTATCCTTGATTGCTCGGTGCCATATATGATACTGGATTTCCGTACAGTTGTTGTGTCTGTACGAGGAATATGAGCTTAACATTTTATTCCATGAAGTTTAATCAGGTTTTATTCCTTTTCTCATCTGAAATCGTTTTGAAATAATAAAAGTTGAGATTTCTTCTATGCATGAACACGTAATCAGAGGAACAGGGATGGAGAGGGAATTTCCGTGAGAGAAAAACAGATACTAATAATCTGGTATAGATAAAAATAGACTGAAAAGGACAGATAGATAGATAGATAGATAAATAGATAGATAGATAGATAGATAATGAAAAGAGATAACGATGTATGAACTGGTTGTGAGAGATAGATAATTAAGAGATGGGTATGTATTAATGATAGACAAACAAAATAATATATATATATATATATATATATATATATATATATATATATATATATATATATATATATATCAGGTGTGCTATATTTATGGGATAAAGTGCTCAATATGAGAGATAGAGTTTAAAATAAATAAAAGTGAACATTGAGTCAACTTAGAGGCGACAGTCTGTTTTGTGTTAGATGATTTGTCTAGTATGAAAACAGCCTGTCATCTCTATGTTGACTTCAATGTTCACTTTATATATATATATATATATATATATATATATATATATATATATATGTCAATATAGACAGATAGAAATAGGCAGACTGAGATAAATAGATAGATACTAGTATAGATTGATATAAAAAAAACCGACAGAAACATGGATAGACATAAAAAAAACTGAGATAGATAGATAGATAGATAGATAGAGAAGAGATTCGGATAGGTAGATAGATGAACCGATTGGTATGCCAAATCTGCCGGGTTTCTGTCTCGGTTTGAAGCGATCGGATGTCTAGCCACACTGAATAATTTATGCAGGTAAATATTTTTTTAAAAATAAATTTGTTTTGCATACATAAAATTTTCATACTTAGTTTACTACGAAAATCTAATAATATCAATAAAACCGACTATGTGTGTATATATGTTCCTTTATATATATGTTGTGTATATGTGTGCGTGTGTATATGTGTGTGTGTGTGTGTGTGTGGGGTGTGTGTGTGGGGTGTGTGGGGGGTGCGTGTGTGTGTGTGTGTGTGTCCGCGAAAAGATATGATTTTAAGATATGGTTAAAATTGCTCAACATCAGTAAAAATAAAAGTGTATATAATGATAGCGGTGTCAAGAGAAAAACACTGAACTTTTGACACAACCTTTTTTTTTTCGATGGTAAAACATTGCCGAAGTATATATAATAATGAAAGTAATAGAAGTAAAAATATAAAAAGGAGATGCAAAACTACTAAAGTTTCACCCTCGAGACAAAAGATTGTCAGACGGGGTTCGAATATTTTTCTTTTCTTTTTTTTTTTCTCAATCTGGCTTGACGATTCTTTGTTTCGTGGATGAAACTTAAATAGTTTGAGCTCTACTTTGTATTGAGCAATTTTTATTACCAACTTCACTGTAATTGTATCCAACCAGCTACGATTTATAAAAATGTATAAACGACCCGTTTCGCCATGAGCGTCTGCTCTCTTTGATTCTAACGCGAGGAGGCCTAGTAGAGCAGATTCTCTCGTCGAATCACATCGTTTATAAATTTTCTTCTTTGATTCAGCATCTTCACACACACACTCACACACAAAGACGTACATCTATCTATCTATCTATCTATCTATCTATCTATCTATCTATTTTAGGATATTAAAACAAAATATGCTAAAAATCACTACAAAATTACAGTTATGTTTCTCCTCGGGCGATGATCATTAATATCCTAAAACAAATATATATTTATTTTATGTATATATATATATATATATATATATATATATATATATATATATATATATATATTATATTTATTTATATAACACTACAAATACAGAAAATGAAAATGAAACATTAAAAAGATCATCAGAAAATTTATTCCATTAAAAATTGATTCGTTTAATTTTCCTGAAGAAGGACACGAGACCGGAAACCCGTGTAGCAAATATATGAAGAATAAAATATAATATATACACTAAAACAAATCCACATTATAACCAAAAACGTTTGCGATTTGAATATTTTTTAATATATAATATTTTATATATATATATATATATATATACTATATATATATATATATACATTAAATACATTGATGCTAAAGCCGGAGGAGACACATTTGTGTGTCGAAACATCATTGCAATCGTGTAGCAATTTTTAACATGTTTTTGTTTTAATATCCTAAAGTAAATAATATTTAACTCTACTCTGTATTGAGCCCTCTATGTTAAATGTTACGAACAATGAAACTATACTTCATTTGTTCTCATTTTAAATGGATCTCTCTCCATATAAATATATATATATATATATATATATATATATATATATATATATATGTTTTCATTAAGACATAAACGTTTTTCATTAACACATAAACATAGCGTTTTACATCACACGTAAAAATTAACTTTTCAGATGAACACAACAATTTTGTCTCAGAAAAATGATGAACACAAAATTTTTTATCGATAAAAAAAAAAAACCCCTCATGATGACATTATGCTAATGTCGAAAGTACTCGGAATAAAATCAATATGTATCAACATGGTAATTTTTCTTTCTTCCTTCAATAAGGATACCAAGAAACTTGTCCGTAATTACTAGATAGTCCTATTAAAAATAGGTAAAAAATCTTATTTAATGAGACATGTTTTTTATATATATATATATATATATATATATATATATGTGTGTGTGTGTGTGTGTGTGTGTGTGTGTTTAGTAAGGTGCATTTAGACAGCAATAAATGATGCAAACAGGTTGTATTAAATAACTCAAACAAGGTTTATTTAACTCTTGATATAATTTTTCCAAATTCTACTCGAGGCGTTTTACATTAGGATTAAGAATATTAAACCGTCTACTTTCTACTGTCCATGTCGGGTGACATGTTCTTCGTTTAACAGTACTGCTCAGTTACGACTTGCGCCTGTCAGTACTATTCAATCCAAAAACTGAACACACAATAACTAAGCAACAAAATTTAGGAATCATTATTTTAATTCAACAGGCTATTGTTTGTTTGTTTTTTTATTTTGTTTGTTCGTTTCTTTCTTTCTTTCTTTCTTTCTTTCTTTCTTTCTTTCTATTACGAATGCTTTACGACTTGCTTTTTCTCCTTTCTTAGACGACTGACATGTTTTTCTTGTGCCGTCTTTCTTTCATTCTTTTTTTCTTTTACTCACTTCGGACGAGTTCTTTTTTCTTCTATCTTACAGTCTTCCCATGACACGCTATGTCTTTCTTTCTTTCTTTCTTTCTTTCTTTCTTTCTTTCTTTCTTTACGAATTTGCAGACTTGCTTTTTTTCCTTTCTTATTTGACACGTTTTTTTTTTTCTTTCTTTATTAGGTTTTTTTTCTTTACTTTTTTCTTTTTTTTTCTTTGTTTACTTTTCTATCTGCATATTTCTTTTTTTTTCTTTCTCTTTATTTTCGTTGATCATTTTTCTTGCTTTTTCTTGTTTCTTTCTTTCTTCCTTTCTTTTTTTTTCGGATTTCTTTTTTCTTTTCTATCTAACATTCTTTAAATGACAACGGTTTACGATTTCATTTTCTTGTATCAAACATTCTTTCTCTTGCACAATTTTGACCTTCATTGTGATTTGATTTGATTTTCTTTATTTTGTTTCCATGAAACATTCTTTCATTACATTGTTTCACTTTCTTTCTTTCTTTATTTCTCATTATTTCTTTACTGTTGCTTGAAAAACCTATATCATTTTCCTTTGATAATCAGAGAATATATCAAGAATCTGATGCCAACTATATTTACAGTGATCAAACGTGTTAAAGTCCATCAGATGGAATTGCCGGCAAATAACGAGCGTGCCTCTTTATATGATTCAAAATCGCCATTTGTTTGTCAATCCTTTTCTAAGGGTGGCTATTTTTGTTAAAACCAGTGCGCATGCCCGTAGATAGTTACAAGCCAAACTTGTCAAGGGTGTTTGTGCAGCTTGAATCTCGTCTCAGTTTATGTTTCAGTCGGTGTGCAAGTTTTTTTTTTCTTTTTTTCATTCGTGAACAACATTGAATCATTGGATATCATTAATAAATTTTTATTTAACTTTTTTCTTTTCTTTTTTATACGCGCGGAATATTTTTTTCTCTTGTAATCTGCTTTACGGGGCTTCTATATATGCTACGGTGGTCATGGTGTTCGATATTTTCCGTGTCTCTTTAAATATGAAAAACTTTTAGGGAATTTCTTTTAGTATAGTTTAAAATGATGACCTAGGGTTGAGGATCCATTTATTGTCAAATCGACTGGGTTTCAATTCATTTGAAGCTTTATGTATGTCTCATTTTGCTAATATGTTACAAGCGAAACATTCTGTCATTGGTTGACTATATATATATATATATATATATATATATATATTATTATCATTGAAATTTAAGGGACTTGTCCAATGAAAACTTTTTTACTTTTCATACGTTTTTCCTCCATTTTTTTAATCTTGATATACCAAAAATGTATATAAAAATTTTAAATTCCCAATATTTTTATTCATATAATTTTAAATTTTCTCTTTTTGAAACTGTCTGTCTGTCTGTCTTGATCTCTTTCTCTCTATATATTTAAAATTTTAACATTAATTTTATCATATAAACAAAATCATTTAACTAACTACTTCGTTTGAATTACATTTCAAATAGTTTATACATTGTTGAGATGAAAATATTATCCATTTTCGATTCTATGATTCTATAAACTTTTCATTAATATTCTAAAAAAAAACAATCGCAAAGTCATTTAAAAAAATGAAAAATTTTATGTTGTAAAAAACGGTAACAAATAAAATGAAATTGATGTTATGTTAGTGATAAATTCCAAATTTAATAATTCAACATCAAAATTTCCTTAGATGATAAAAGTTTTTAAAAAAAAAAAAAAATATAAATTAATCTTTTTTGATTTTTTAAAGGTTTAACGATTTAACTAAAAAAGAAAAATGTACTCAAATTCAAAAATTTCCGACAAACACAAATGTTTGTCTTAGCCATCAAAACCCTGATGATGATATTGCAAAATGTTGAATTATCCGAACTGAACCCTTTCCTTTTCACAGCTTCTCTTGTCAGACCCAATGTCTCTTGAGTTAGTATATTTTGCATTAGTGGGCTCTTTCAGAAAATTAGCAGGATACATTCCTTATCTTACATCCACTGTAACATAAACGTGGAACTAGATCAAATACCCCAGTGCGAAATATTTGATTCAGTTCGAAATTCTTATATATCTGAAGCAATTCTTTTGGTCAAGATTCATTAATAGGGAAAGATTAAGATAAATATGGCGACAAATATGAGGACAATTGATTATAATGTAAATACTGAAGGCATAATGCCTCATCTCAAAATATAGACAGACAATCAGAGCTTCTTAACATGCACCTAGTTACTCATATATATATATATATATATATATATATATATATTAACTAATTATCGAAAATAAATTTAGAAACTATGGGGACAGATTTCTGATACGAAAACAAGGTAAGATTTTATTACACTTTAAAAAAAGTTACTTTTCTCATTATCATTTGTGCGGGCGTATGTAAAAATATATCCGGCCATTGTTAACCTCCTCAGTTAACTCATTAGTGCAGACATTAAATGCTGAAGAGAGATTAACCACAAATATACACGAATGACAAATGTAAACTAGTCTACATAAGAACACAGCACCATCTACCATAAACATTCTTTAAACTTAATAACTCAAAAACGAATGCTTTGCGGACATATGTTTATGTAGACTATTGTCCTTGCTTTTGGATGAGGAATTAACAATAAAGTTTATAAAATTATTTTTGTATACACTGTTTATAATATATATATATATATATATATATATATATATATATATATATATATATATATAAGATATCATTTTATGTTTATACCTTTTAAAGTAATTGTCGGACTTTGTCCATTTTATAATGTGTGACGTCTTTTTCAAAAACATTTGGATATATATAACAAGTTGATAATATATATATATATATATATATATATAGGATATATAAATATATATATATATATATATATATATATATCAAGTATTTTTTATGTTTATCCCTTCTTAAGTAATTGTCAGACTTTATCCATTTTATAATGGTGACGTCTTTTGTCTAAATTTGGATACGTATCGAGGGGAAATATATATATATATATATATATATATATATATATATATATATATATATATAAGAATATTTTTAGGAAGACAGTTATACCTTCTGCAAAAGTAATTGAAGGACTTTGTCCATTTTATAATGTGTGACGTCATTTGTCAAAAATATGGATAATCAATTTTCCAGAATAGGCATATACGAGAGAAAGTCATGGAGAAATTTTAAACCAGTAAAATCGACCTTAGCTAAACTGAAACGTCTTTTTGGATCAATCGGTATAAAACGTCAGGCTATATGACGGTTCCATTATAGGATACAGGTTCGATTCCTGTCGGGGACGCGTATTTTCTATATGAAATTTTCTCGGACATTCAGGCCGGTAAATATTGTTAATACTGTTTATTATAAACAGAGAATTTACTTTATTTGTATGATAAAAAGAACATTTAAAAATAAAAAAATGTCTTAAAATAATTGTCGGACTTTGTCCAAAGTATAAAATATATATATATATATGTTTGAAAACACATACTCCTGTAAGAAAAATCTTGATAAAAATCCGTATGGATAATCCCAAGGAGGATGAAATTTTTGTTTTTTTTCAATTTAATTTTTTTTTTTTTAATTTAATTCAAAGAAAAACAGACTACTTTAACGCTCCATTGTAATAATTTATTTCACCAGAGAATTTTATTTTTCTCTGGAACTTTAGATTTCATTTTCAAAGGTGAAACGAAAAATGAAATTAAAATTTACACTTTTGACGGGCAGTATTAAGCCAGAGTTCATTAAATTATTGCTAAAAAGGAATATAAAAGGAAATGCCCTCAGGATTCACCGAAAAGGGGGGGTGATGAATCCAAACGGAATAATCGGCAACAAACCCGGAATGAAAAACAAACCATGAATTTAAAAAATGTGCACGGACTTCCCATGTGTTTGTGGTCGGAAATTCAGTTCCCAAAAGGGAGCGAAGATTCACTTGTTTAAAAAATGGGTTGTGCAATTTCTGAAAACGGTTCAGGAGCAGGGGTCTGAAACCAACACAGATAAGACGTCGGAAAACCAATGCCAGGATGCACTTCACAGTATTGAGGATATCTTCTGTTGAATCAAAGGATGGGATTTTTAAACCCAAACTGCCAAGAATCAAATTTCCACCAGCATCCAACTCGGAAGCGTGGTGTATGCTGACAACATCATTAGCAAGACATTACGTAAAGAGCTGGGAAGGAAAGAAATATCACGAACGTTTGAACGAAAGTAGTAAAATAATCTACAGGGTTTGTAAGGAAATCTACGGCGTGAAGGAGGAAAATGATAAGCCACCACCCAAAAAGAACAGGCGTCAACGGTTAATGCAAGATTTGAGAAAAAAAAAAAGAAATCTAAAACGACAAATCCGTTTCGCAAATTTTGACGAAAAAAAAGAAATTTTGCTTAAAATCTGGCAGGATTAATAGTAAAAGAAGCACAATGTCTTGTATTTCTGAAAAATAGTAAAGAGAAGTGAATCGAAGGAAAGACCAAGAGACATTTTTCTTCCAGGAACCGTACAAATATGCGAGGAATATATTTGATCAACCAAGATCAGGTGTGCTTAAAATAGAGGAAAATGTTCTAGAGGAACATTTAAGAGGTATGTACTCTGATCCTAAACGACATATTCCTCTAGATCATAATAGCAACTTATTTTGGCCAGCCGTTTCTAAAGTGAAGTTTGATATGAAACCACCCACACGCGAAGAAATAAAACGCATAGTCGACAAAAGTAGGAATAAATCTGCACCTGGCCCTAACGGAATACCTTTCCTTCTATACAAAAAATGTCTTACTCTTCTTAAATGGTTACATACTAATTTAAAATTAGCATGGAAAAAATTACCATATCAGCCAACAGTGGATGATAGCGGAAGGGTGTACATACCCAAAGAAAAGAATTTCAGGGACATCAGTCAATTTCGGCCAATTTCGCTTCTCAATGTAGAAGGAAAGATATTTTTTCGCAGTTTTGGCATCGAGGTTGACCAAATACCTTCTCGATAATGAGTATATCGATACGTCAGTACAGAAGGGTGGTGTTCCAGGAATAGCTGGTTGCTTAGAGCATGGAAACATGATCTGGGAGGCCATTCAAAAAAGCAAAAATTAAAAAGAAAAGATTTGGATGTCATTTGGTTGGATTTAGCTAATGCCTACGGATCAGTACCTCACCAAATGATACAATTATCATTACAAATGTACCATATTCCTGAGGAAATATCTATTATGCTAGGAACTTATTTTGATGGTTTCCTCATGCGTTTCACTACAAAAGACTTTACGACTAAGTGGAATAGACTTGAAGTTGGAATTGCGATGGGATGTACAGTGTCACCAATACTTTTCGTTCTAGCAATGCAGCTGATTCTCAAAGCGACAAACGACAAGGCTGATGTTGTTGAGCTTGGTGGAGGTTGTCAAATGCAACCAGTGAAAGCGTTCATGGATGACACTACAATCCTCTCATCCAAAGTAAGTTCAACTCGCAAGATATTAAGCTTGATGGACGACCTGATAAGTTGGTGTAGAATGAAATTTAAACCAAACAAGTCCAGAAGTTTTTCTCTTACAAAAGGAAAGTTGAATAAAAACATAAATTTTGTAGTAGGTGGCCAAAGAATCCATACTGTATCAGAAAAATCAGTGAAAAGTTTAGGTCGGTGGTACGATCAATCCTTAAAAGATACCAACCAAGTAAAAGAAACATCCAGGTCATTACAAGAAGATCTCCATAAGATAGATCTTTGTCCTCTAAAAGGAAAATACAAGGTATGGTGCTTAGAGCATGTGCTCATTCCAAAGCTACTATGGCCCATACTTGTGTGTACGAATTTGGAATGAGTACAATTGAGTCAATGGAAAGAAAATAAACAAATATATCCGAAAATGGTTGGGTTTGCCTCCAGGTTTGTCTGATATCGCATTGTACTGCAGACAAGCAAAACTAAAGTTGCCATTTAAATCGATTGTGGAAGAGTATAAATCCGGAAAAATTAGACTTCAAATGATGTTGGATGACTCCAAGGATAAAGCAATAAAAGCATTAAAGCCTACATTAAAAACAGGGAGAAAGTGGAAGGTCAGAGAGACGATAACAAGTGCTAAAGACAATCTAGCTTTCAATGAAGTCATCGGATACACTCAAGCAGGGAAACAAGGGTTAGGACTAAATGAAAGGCAATGGTGGTCGAAAACTTCTGGTAAAGATCGCCGTGACATGGTCATTCAAAATGTGATGAACGAAGAAGATAAAAAAAGACTCGTAAAAGGAGTGCAACAATCCCAACAAGGCCAATGGACAAACTGGGAGGAGGCTCTGCAGAAATCTATTACTTGGAAGGACATTTGGCAGATGGCTCCACTCAGGTTGAGTTATTTAATACGTTCCACGTATGACCTGCTACCATCTAAGAACAATCTTGTTAAATGGAAGAAAGAGAGTGATCCTACTTGTCCCCTGTGTAAGGAAAAGCCACAAACATTAGAACATGTTCTTAGTTCCTGTAAAACAGCCCTTGTCAATGGCAGATATACATGGAGGCACAATAGTGTTTTGGATGAGCTGGTCAAAATTATAAAGAAATATATGAAGTCTGAGTCATCTAATTCAGCCCAGAAATTTGTTGCAGAAGGAAAAAGATATGTCGGTTCTAAGCAAACAAGCAAATGTCATGCTATACCCGGAAAAAATCTCCTTAGTTCTGGTGGCATCTGGGAGGTATCTGCAGACCTTCCTGGTTGGCGTAATGATTACCCCAAAATAATATCAAGTAAAGGTCTGCGACCAGATATTGTTCTTCTGTCAAGGGTGAACTATAAAATCATCCTGGTTGAATTAACAGTACCATATGAATGCCGGATGGAACAAAGCCACGATTATAAAACTAATAAATATGAAAATCTAAAATCAGAGCTAATAAAGGAGGGGTATAATGCAATTGTTAGAGCAGTGGAAATTGGAGCAAGGGGTTTCGTTTCAGGCACTCTGTACCAATTTCTGGGCCAAATTGGAATCAAAGGGCGTAATAGGGCCAAAAGTATAAAACGCCTAATAGAAGTAACAGAAAATAGTTCTATGTGGATATGGAAAAAACGAAATACTCCGTGGAGTGTTTCAGCGAACATGACGGCATGACATGACTGATCGTGAATGCGTAATGAGGTTCACGTTGCATTCTCAGAACGCGAGGTTTGCCGTTTTTCGGAATTTTCGTAAATTTAATTTCGCCGTTACACATTTGAACTAGTTTATCTACAACACTTGTATATCGTTATAATGGGGCCTCACATCAGTGAGGGGGGGCGGTGTGCAACTGAAACCGTTGAGAGGAAGGCCCCGAAACGGTGCACATTCTCTCCTGATGACCCCAGTTTAAATATAAATTCGAGAGGAACACATCAAAATTCAGTGAAGTCATATGCCGTAGAGAAGCTCGGTGGAAGTGTCATTGGCATGAGGAGCATTACACATTCAGCTCGCTTCAGGTGAGTTTCAATTACTTTCCAGTAATTTCCTTCTTTATCTATCTATCTATCTATCTATCTATTTATGAAATTCAGTGTGTTAAAATGTCCAGTTTTCGTGGACTGCATTTTACAATTCAACATTATCAAACGCCCCTGATATAGATAAGACAAAACGGGCAAATTTGCAGTCTCTTGAGTCTGGACATTAGGGTTGATAATTTATCTAATTTAAATTGAGTTTTTGTTATATAGAATCCTATAGCTCCCAACACATTTTTTTCACGTACTGTTTGTCCGTCTTCCATTAACCCGAGGAAACGAATTTTTTTTTTGGTTTATATATATATATATATATATATATATATATATATATATATATTATAAATTAATTTATTTAAAATATGTTTTTTTTTCGCTACACAGTTCTAACCATGTTTCAAAAATGGAAGCTAAAAGCTCCGAATTTAATTTTGCAATTAAATTAAAGACATTAGTTCTATTTCATCCTCATTGAGCACTATTTTGTAAAAATAAAAATATCTATAAGAACACCGGGATTATATATCTTACTGTTCTTTTATATATATATATATATATATATATATATATATATATATATAATGGGTGTAAAAGCAAAATTGCCCATTTATTAGATCTCTTCTAGCATAATATTTGCATTGGTGTTAAGCATATGGGTTATTTTATTTATTGTTAATAAATGTTTCTCAAAACAGTGGTTTTAAATTTTCCTTCTATGTTTTGTTCGACAATATTCGTTTAAATATTTCCAGTAAGTTTCGTTGAAATTGATCTGTTATTTTTTGAGATACGTAAGAAAAACCAATGTGTTAAATACTTTTTGCTACCCACTGTATATATATATATATATATATATATATATATATATATATATATATATTATGATTTTACTAATTTAATATTACCATGTTTCAAAAACAGAAACTAAAAACTTTAAATTTAATTGCATAATAAGATTGTGTGTGTGTGTCTGTACGTATATATATTGGATCGGATTTCCTACATTTTTCAACCGATTTCAACAAAACTTCACTTTTTTTGGCAGGTAGTGTTTCTTATTGTCTTGCACACTTTTTTCTTTTTTTTTACATTCAGAATGCTTTAAAATTCCATTTACAAGACAATTGTTTATAATAAAATTCTATTCAATCGGTAGACTCATAACGATTGAAAACAATGTTTTTGTTTGAGTTTGGGTTTGACTAATTCGTAAAAAAACAAAAAAAACTAATTAAACACATGTATCCGTCAACCTTAAACAATAATCTTTGTCAATTTTATTTTTCAGTCTTTATGATGGTCGATACTTGATCTATCTCTTACTGTTACATCCCCGGGCAACGCCGAGCTCTACTGCTAGTAAGTTATAAAATCACTACAAAAATAGCCATTTTGAGAATTCTTTCTGGTGTCTTGAACGTGATGATGTTGAATGTAAAATAAATGGTTTTAAAAGTTTCAAATTAATTAACGATCCTTCGCAAGGGGAAAACGTTGTTACAAAAGTTAGAATAACCAATCAAAACACAAGTATAGGAAAATTAAAAAAACTTGACAACGAAGTAAAGCTATAATAGCTATTAAGAGCTTTAAAGTTAGGGTTATACTAAAATAGAATTTATTCTAACCCATAAGTATTAAATTATATAATAAAATTAGATATTAAAATTAAAAGTAAAAAATTACCAATTTTAAAATTTAAATTTAATCTCTATTAAGTTTAAAATTAAAAAAAATACTGAGGAGAAAAGAAAATACATATGTTATTCAATTTATTTCTTCATTGAAATTACGTTAGAATAGACACTAATATTAGCTGGTTTTCCAAACAAAATGTATACATTTTAATCAGAAGGAAAAATGGGTGCTAAATTCTCTTGCAAAAACAATACAAACAACATAGAACAAAATTATAATACATATTTAGATACACAAACTAAAAATATATATGCAAATATATATATATATATATATATATATAAATATATATATATATATATATATATATATATATATATATATATATATATATAAATATAATATTTAAATATATATATATATATATATATATTCATATGCATATATTATATTTTATTTTCTTTTAGTTTATATTTCCATCATGACTCAGAAATTTCTCTGTTTTAACGAAAAAAATTGTAAATTAAGGAAAAATTAAACTTAAAATATATCTTTGTTCTATTGTTATACAAAATATTCTTTGACAATGTTACGAATTTCTGGGTTTTAAGTTTAATTTATATAATTAAATTTACAATTTTAGTTTCATTTTTGAAAGAAAGAAAATTTATGTGACGCGATTGAATCATTTTTAAAAAAAGAAAATAATTATATTAAAAAAAAATCTTTTGCATCGAGCATTGTTTTTTTTTTTTTTTTTAAGAACACCCTAAATTATAAATCTTAATCTCTTACTTCATTATTTTATTTTAAACACACAAACACACAAACACACAACACATTAATTACACACACATAAATATATATATGAAAATATATATATATATATATATATATGAAAAAAATCCAGAAAAATCAAAAAAAAATCTGAATATGCAATTATGTTATTAATATGTCGGATCTATATCCATATATTTATTATATATATATATATATATATATATATATAAAAAAATTTTAAAGATGTTCAATCTTATTGAATTACAGAAATGAATTTTTTCTTTTTCAACAATCCAATAACAAGATCTTATATTTTTTTATACCATTAAGAGCTTCACAAACATGTAATTATATTTTAAGCAAAATTAATCTGGGAATTTTTATAAAAATGCGAACGTTTTTTTGAAATGTGGATCATTGTAGATGCAAAACTATTATCCTATCTTTCGACTCAATCAAATATTCTTAAATATATGGAAAAATTAAAAAAAGAGAAAAAAAAATGTAAATAAAAAATTTTAAGTGGCGCATTTTTTTAAGATGTCTTTATATTTTGTTTGAAAGTTAAATCCAAATCATTCAAACACAGGAAGTCGTGACATCAAGGGATAACCAGCAATGTTTAATGTCGTGTCATATTTTTCATATGTATTTGAGAACACTGTGTATTATACTAGAGGTTTTTTTTTATTATTAATAGACGGTTTGTTTTTTACAGGAATCATTTCAACACAAATGCAGAATGTAACATCCATAAGTGTCTAATGTTTCAGAAGCAAACACAAACGTGTGACATTTTGATTTTATGCTTTTCCATAATCCCCACGTTTTTATAGCAAATATTAAGTCTAATGAAGGAGAAAACAAAATTTATATCGAAATATAAAAATAATTAAAAAACAAATAAAAAAAATAAATGTGAATCGGAATTACTTTATTTTTTTTTTTTTAAAAACAATTTTCATAATCGTATATTTTTTTATTTCTATATTTATATGTTGCCATGGAGATTATTTTGTTTTCTTTGAAGTCCTTTTTTTTTTCTTTTCACCCAGAATTCTCAACAGTGTTCACTCGGAGACCGGCTCGTTAAATATACGTTACCGGCGAATTATAAAATTTCAAGAATTTGTATCTAATTTATAAGTGTCCCAAAGTTTTTTGTCCCAACCACTGCTTAATAAGCGATAAAAATAATCAGGAAATTAAAAAAAAAAAGCTGGTAAAAAAAATTGAAAAAGAGAGGAACGTTGGGGGAAAAAGATATAGAAGGTGAAGACGAAAAAAAAAAAAACAGGAATCCTTTTAAAAGGATTAAAAAATTTCAAATCCTTTAAAATAAATATTTTGAAAAATAAAAATTTTTTGGTAATCAACTTTTACAAAACAAAACAAATAATAACTCTGTTTTTCCTGGAAACCCATTCCTTCCTTTTGTGTCTATCTTTGAATCTTTCTTTCATTCTTCCTTTTCCGAATTCAAACTTTTCTTCCTGGGCAACATTCTTTTCTTTTTATTGAACTTTTCGACACGTACGACGTTTGACATGCCCCGTATATTAAATAACTCTAAATTTCTTTCTATTTGTCTTTCGCTTTTTGCCCCCAAATTTTTTAAATTTTTTTTTTTTTCTCTTTTTCGATTCATGCCGATGCATCTTTTTTCTTTTTTTTCTTTTTTTTTCTTTCTTTCTTTTGTTTTCATTTTCTTTCATTTTTAGAGAACCTTTTTTCATTTATTATCTTATTCTTTCTTTTTTTCTTTGTTTTTTCTTTTAAGCCTTTATTTTTTTCTTTTTTCTTTCCGAAATGATTTTCCATTATTTATTTTTTTTTAATTTTTTTCTTTATTTTTTCTTAGTATAAATCTTAGTATTCTTTTTCATTCATTCATTCATTCATTCATTCTTTCTTTCTTTTTTTCTTTTTTCTTTCTCTCTTAAATTATTTTTCCTTATATATTGTTTGACATTTTCCTTCAATTTTCTTCTATCTTAGTGAATCTTCAGTATTCTTTGTTTCATTCTTTCTTTCTTTCCATCTTTCTTTCTTTCCTTCTTTCTTTTTCTCTTTCTTTTTTTTACTTACTTTTTTTTTTTTTTTTTCTTCATTTTTTCTTTTTTCTTTCTTTCATTCTTTCTTTTTCTTTTTTTCTTTCTTTCTTTCTTTTTTTTCTTTCAAATTTTTTTTTTTTTCTTTTTTTTTTTCATTCTTTCATTTTTTCTTTCTTTCATTTATTGAAGAACAATTTTCTTTCTTTCCTTTCTTTCTTTCTTTTTTTTCTTTCTTTTTTTTTTTCTTTCTTTTTTTTCTTTTCATTTATTTTTCTTTCTTTCTTTCTTTTTTCTTTCTTTCTTTTTCTTTTTTCTTTCTTTTTTTTTTTTTTTTTTTTCTTTTCTTTTCTTTTTTTTTTCTTTTCTTTCATTTATTCTTTCTTCCTTTCATTCTTTTTTTTTCAAGGATTTTCATTCTTTTCTTTTTCTTCTTTTCTTTATTTCTTCAGATTTTTTCTTCAAAATTTTCATTCTTTCTTTTCCATCTTTCTTTCTTTTCTTCTTTCTTTTTCTCTTTGTTTTTCTCTTTCTTTCATTTATTCTTTCTTTCTCTCCCAAATTATTTCCCATTATTTATTGTTTTACTTTTGCCTTCTCTTTTCTTCTATCTTAATGAATCTCCAATATTCTTTCTTTCTTTCTTTCTTTCTTTCTTTCTTTCTTTCTTTCTTTCTTTCTTTCTTTACGAACTTTCCCATTCTCAAAAAATTGTTGAAAGTGGAACAAGAAATTGTTTCTGTTCCTTTTGAAAGTTTCTTTGCGAAATGATTTTTTTTATTCATTGTTTTACTTTTACCTAAAAAAGAAAGAAAATAACAGAGTGTTTCTTAAAGTAAAATTGAAAGAAAGAATGAAAAGAAAAGAAAAGAAAGAAAGGTAGAAAGAAAGAAAGAAAGAAAGAAAGAAAGAAAAAAAGAAAGAAAGAAAGGAAATAAAAGAATAATGGTGACATGAGAGGAATGAAATCAAAGAAGAAAGAAAGAAATGGAGGAAAAGAAAGAGATAACCTTGAAAATTCAATAAGAATCGTAACTTTCTTTTTTCCTTTTTTCTTTTCTTTCTTTCTACTTTATTTTCAAGATACTCTCAATTTTCTTTCTTATTTTTCTCTATCTTCTTTCTTTTTCTTTCCTTCTTTCTTCCTCTCTTTCTTCTGTGATCTAATTTTTCTGATTTTCTCATTTTTATTTTCTTTCTTTCAGGGAATGTCAACTTTCCTTCTTTCTTCCTAGTTTTCCTTTCTTTGTTTCTTTTCTTTTGTGTTTTGTTCGGAACATCAGTTTGGGACGTTAATAGCAACATCCGCTCGTGGCCTTGGTAACACAGACAAGTTGTTCTCTAGTTAGGAATACCAGATTTTAAAATTTAGGAAACATAAAAAAGAACGTTTTAGGAACACCAGGTCTAAAAATCATTTAGAACAACAACAGTCTTTTTTGATAGCAACAACACATTGTGTTTTGTCAGGCATAACTTGTAGCCTTGGTAGAAAGACCGGTGGTGACCTTGGTAAGAAAACCTAACTTTGATCTTGTTGGGTCGACGATTTGGGGCGTCTGAGAATCTATGTCTGCTAGCCTCATTTTGGTAGGCGCAGTAATTTTTAAAAAGGATTTATTTTTTTTTAATTTATATATATATTTTTTTTTTAAATATATATATATATATATATATATATATATATATATATATATTAAGAAATGGACAAAGTCCGACAATTTATTTATTAAATACATTTTATGTTTAACGTTCTTTTTTTTTAGATACAAGTATTTAAGTAAATGCTCTGTATTAAATGTTATTTAATACTGTTTATTATAAACAGAGCATTTACTTAAATATTTATATATCTAAAAAGAACGTTAAACATAAAAATGTCTTTATATATATATATATATATATATATATATATATATATATATATATATATATATATATGAATAAAGGCCAAATTTATTCTGTAGTACCATTCATTGTTGACTTCATTTGGTTACAGTGTTTAAAATAGTTCTTTTTGTGATTTGAGAGTTTATAAGGAGTTGTTGTGTTCCTTCTGGCTGACGGAAATTAATTCGTTGCATTCATCCTTTTTTCTTTCTCTTCTGGAGTTGTACGCTAGCTCAAACTCGCAGCCGATGAATCTCCAACCTTTGCGTTTCGAACTGCTACCTCGAATCAAGTTCCTCTCCATTGTGGCGTTTCTAGCCTCGTACGTGGTTTCCTTCTTTTTATTGAGACTGACACATCCGTGTTTCCCGTTTGATTTTTGTCGGGACGTGTTGTCGTTGGTTGATTTTTTTTTATGACGTTCACCGACCCACATAAAGTCCGGCTTTATGTCCGTTACCAAAGATAGGAACAGTAGAAGGAAGGAAAGGAAAGGAATTATATAGAAGATAGGGAGAGAGAGAGAGAGAGTTTTCTTTGTCACTCAGTAAAGAGGAAAGTGTATATTTTTGTATGGTGTTATTACTACCTGATCCTGCTACACAGCTAGTATTTCTTATTCAGTGTTTAAGAAAATATAGAGAGATGGAGACGTCAGCTCATACATGTGTACCAACTAAATGTAACGTTTATTGCAATATATGTATGAGAACATAGAGTATAAATATTGAACGTTTATCAATCTAACATGTCTCACTTTTATTAAATAGACAGATATTCTGATATTTTCTATTTTCTGTTGTTTGATCTTCATTGGTCAGTCATGTACTATTTTTCACTCCCTTACACCCACGAAGGAGGCACGGTGGAGTAATGGATAGCGGCTCGGACTCAGGAATCGTAGAGACGAATTCGAATTCCTGTCGAATCCATTACATTCACTCACGTGCTTATACCCTTGGGAAAGGTATGAATCCTATTCTTCTCCCCCAACTATGGGTAAATAGCAGGGCGGACCGGGTTCTATAATCTTGGATTGCAACTGGTCTACCGCAGAAAGAAATAGCAACCTATTGCGGGGAAAAAAAAATCTGCCTCGTCAGTCATGTATCGAAAGATACATGATCGCCTACGCGTTTATCACGCATGGCACATAGCTGACTGACTCAAACGCTGGAAGAACTAAATAGATTAATTAAATTTTCTTTGTCTGTCATATGTAACGAAAAATATTTAAAAAAGATATTGCTGCCTATATATATATATATATATATATATATATATATATATATATATATATATGTGTGTGTGTGTGTGTGTGTGTGTGTGTAAGGTTGATTTTAAAGCAACTCCCTGTTTTAATCATGAGTGTCCAGCCAGGAATTCTGACTTAACAACCTATGAAGTTTTTTTCTTTGGGATTGTTTTAATAAAAAGTATACTATACTAAACCAAGATTTTGGAAGAACATGAACGGCGAATATAAGAAATTATGCCTACTATACCACATGAGTTCCTGGTGAAATCAACTGTTGACGCAATGCCTGGACGGCTCGATACGGTGGTGGAGAAAACTGGTGGCCATATCGAATTTTTTAAAAAACCGTCATGCTAAACGCTTTACTCTCTTACCCATTTCATATTATAGTTAATAAATAGAGTATAAGTATTTCAAATGATTTTACTCTTCAATCACATTGTATATATATATATATATATATATATATATATATATATATATATATATATATATATATATATATATATATATATATATATATATATATATATATATATATAAATATATATATATATATATATATATATATAGAGAGAGAGAGAGAGGTATTGCGTATGTACATGCGCGTACTGGTATAAAATACATATATTGACAAAAACAAAAATGTTCACGGGCACACAGGCGAAGCCTACACAACATAGGAGGTGTGTGTATGTGTGTTTGGGTATATATATATATGTGTGTGTGTGTGTGTGTGTGTGTGTGTGTACATATGTGTATACTAATTTCTTATAATAAGTGTGTATGCATATATATGGAGAGGGAATATACGCATGCGTACGAATGCTGACAAAAAACATTTAAAAAAGGAAATAGATCTAAGAACACACAGGTGAGTATTAAAAGATAATAATATAGATATCTTTTTTACCCTTTCTTGGGCCAGTCTTAATTATTTTATTATCCTTCACGCAGAACTTTTTCACTGCTAGTTCAAAGAAGACATTTGGGTCACTAACAAACACAAAACGAGAATACCTAATATCGACAATATTTAACATTGAAAAACATAAGAAAAGATAATTCCATTTAATAATATGTGGAAATATCCATTTTTGCCTGATGAAGGTCTCGAGATCGGAAACACGTGTAGCAAAATTATGGAATATAAAGCATAATATATATATATATATATTTTAAATTCACATTACAACCATAAACGTTTGCGGTTTTTTTTTTTTAAATACACACTTTTTCTCGTTGATTTACTAAAAACCTTTCCAGATTTTTTCCAATTTCCTAAATAGTATAGCACGTCAGGCCAAAATGACGGTTCCGTGTAGAAATTCATGTTCGATTCCTGTCGGAGGACACACATGTTATATGAACATTCAAGGCCATTAAATGTTGTTAAGAACTGTTTATTATAAACAGTACATTTACATAAATTTTGTATCTATAAAAGTAAATATATATATATATATATATATATATATATATATATATATATATATATATATATATATATCTATGTCTTTGTTAGGAGAAGGAAGAACAGTGAATTCAAAACCTATGTTTTTTGTTGTTTGGGGAAATTTAATGTCACGTACTGCACCTGGTCTCTGTATTTAATTTCAAAACCTGTGGTTATTCTGCTCAAATCCTTCAATTATAATCAAATCCCTATGTTCTGGTGTATTTTTGTCGGTTCCAAAAGATTGAGTTTTGACCCAAATACGTTCGAATACGAGGGATATATATATATATATATATATATATATATATATATATATATGTCGTTAAAATTTTCAGCACAGTTATTGAAATTATTAAATTCGATAAGTATCAATCATTTATCATATCACATGTAAAAGTAATAATGTAATCAAAATTTGAGTTTATATCATTTTTTTTTTATTATTCTACAATCCCCAGGTTTCAAGTTTCTCGAATTTGCAGTATAGGACGAAAAACGTAAACTTAAACGATTTCAGAAAACAGGTCGTCTACTCAATCAATGTGCACCCCAAAATATAAAGTAATATGAAATAATATTGGATTATAAATAAAATGAATGCTCTTAGTTGCTAATTAGTAAGACTAAGGAAAACTCCTTCAAATGTAATGAATAGTTTGTTGGTATGTATGTTTTATAAAATGTTTTCATTTTTCAAAACCCGGTTAAGATATTGTGTCCATCTTCAAAGTTAATATTATTAACTGTTGTTTTTTTTTTTTTTTTTTATATAGTACCTGGCAGTTTTCTGCAGGCCGCCGGATTCAAACCCGACTTCTGCAAGTTGATCAGCCTCCTGTGTTAACTCTCCCAGTGCAGTGCTACAGGTGAACGAAAAACGGTCGCGCGCTTTTGCACTAAGTCGCTCAGTCTTACTTTACACTTTGGCGTTGGAGACCCTCCTTCGTCCGTCTAAGGGACAAGGCACGTACCCGGTACTCCGCGGAATCACTGTCCCTGAATGCACTCGAGTCAGGGTTTCTGCGTACGCCGATGGCATATCCATTTTCGCGTAGTCCTGCAGCGACATTGAGTTGGTACATAAGAAGCGTGAAAGGTACGAAAATATCAGGGAGGCTTGCAGTTAGGTGCTTGGAAGCGGGTCA